AAAAAAAAAAAAAAAAAAAAAAAAACATTGTAATTAGTCCAAAAAAAAAAAAAAAATTAGAGTATGAAAAAAGCCGTTCAAAAGAAGCATTTATTTTAAGCATCAAATCAATGATATTGTGGTTCAATGCTTACCACCATTCTGAGATATTGCAAGCTCCATACGGTTCATGAACTCGGAAAGTGTTGTCATAGCGTCAGGAATGGGCTAAGTAGAAGAGTACACAAATTAGTCAATAGATGACCCAAGAGACCAACCCTATCAAGCAAGATAAATCACAATTTGGCAATGTACAGAAAAAAGGTAAACTACCGCATGAATGGAAGGAACTGATACGGCTGCACTGGCAAGTGGAATTTGAATCACGTGAGGAAAGCTTTGTGATGGCTGGCCGGGAAATGCCGGTCCAGTTTGAGCTTGACTCGTTGCCTGTCCTCCAGCCTCATTGTTAGCTCTAAATGTTTCATTTCCTTGACTTGCTGTGCCACGATTGTTAGGCTGTAAGGGCATAACCATATCAACCATATTTTACACGATATCCAGAAACTGTAAATATAGAGGTCAGAGGAATCTGATATCCACGTCAACAAAAAAAAAAAATGCTGTTTAAAGCTACTGAAATCATGCAATTGAGAGAACTACGAACATAAGAGGCAATAATTATTTGGGTGACAGACAACGCAGAATACAGCATCAAAACATGTTCAGCTTCAACTACAATGTGGCACAAGAAGAAGAAGTTCTTAAATTTATGTCTTCAAAAACACACGTACGAAGAATAAACTCATCTCATTTCTTAAATCAAAACACCTGTACAAAATATCTTATAAATTATATAACGTTGTGAAAGTGAATCAAATATAGTTTTCAAAAACAAATTTGTCAGGCTATTCACTAGATTCATTTGATAACTAGAATCCGAATTGCATACCAAGCAGGACCTAATATATCCTGAACTTCCCAAATTTGTTGATTTTTCATGGAAACATACACCGTTTTTCATTTAAAGATAAAGAACTCCTCACTTACCAATGTAGACTGCATACCAGGTGGGATGTTTGCATTTTGGCTGCTTAGTCCAATAGAATTCAGAACGGCCCCAATAACCTAGAAAAGGGGAGGAACAAGGAAAATTTTGTTTCATTCACTAGGCAATACGAAATTCACCAATGTCCATCATATAACTTGGGATAGGAATTATATTATATAAGATGAGAGTCCATTATAAGCACATTAATAATAATAATGAACAAATAAATTGAAGGAAAAAAAGGAAAAAAGAACATTAAGGTGTATACCCGAGAAAGATCAGGAACAATGCCTTCACCTTGATCCCCAACATTAAATGTTCCTAAAACAACACTATGTGCAATTTGTCGATTTCGAGGGGCACCAACTCCAGCTTCGTTACCGGTTGAAGAAGGTACTAAGAAGCAAATAAAAGAGAACTTAAGAAAATGAACAATATCCCACATGTTTATAAATTCTCAAACCTAGTACAGTACTCTATTTGGCATACCATTTGCAGGTCTTTCGCCAGAGCTAGTATCTGATGCTGCCTGTTGCTGTGTTGGTTGCCTTTCAACTAAATGCAATGTATGTCCATTTTCCAAATCTTAAAGCATTAAGAAACTACAGTCCAGACTCCAAATCCATAAACAAGTGCACTCAATTGCACGAAAAGAAGCATCAAACAGCAAAACTAAGCAATAAATTATCCAAGGCTACAAACCTGAAAAGACTTGTCAATAAGAAAACTAGAACATGCATACTAAGTATTAAGGCTGTTATACGCACTAACTAAATAACATAAGAATCACAAGCTATCGTCAAATGAAAACAGTTCCAACATGTCATACTTTCATCTAATATTACTTAAATAAAGAAGAAACTCCCATCCGCAACATCAACCCTTATGCTATTAAACTTTCAAGACCACCATATTATATAAATATCTTATCTTGACCACCAACAAGCAGAACAACCATTACCATATAAAAGACTATTACCCAATAAATTTGAGATTGAATACGCAGATTAGGAAGCAAGCACCCCCTACATGAAAAATGTGGTAAAATGGTTTGCAACTAAAAAACGAGGATTTGTTGTAGAAAAAGAAAAAGAAAAAGAGAAAATACAACAATTATTAAAGAGAAATATACACTAAATGCAGACAGTGGGAGGATACAATACTCAGAAAGAGAATGTTCATCCTTTAAAACCTTTCCCCTGAATATCAAACGTTGCTGATTCACTGGGATTCCTATTTCATTTGCGATTTTCTCCTTGAATAATTGAACCGGCATCTAATACATTGACAGGCAAAAAGAGCACGTAAGGAATGTGCATGAAGAGGAAGCAGACTCGTATTAAGAAAACGGAAAGGCTATGAGTTCACTTTTCTGGTACATTTTTTGTATCTCACAATGAAGTTTGTTCTTTTAATCATTTTACCCTCTTCAAGAATAATGAGTAGCCCAGGTAAAAAGCATATAGTCACGGCTAAGGAAAAGTTATTTTGAATATGGAATAATTTCATTGATAAATTTACTTCTTTTGTTACTACATTCAGGATTCTTGTAAAATAACATTTCAAAGTAATAACAAAGTAATTTCTTTCTAGAAAAAAAAAATTGAATTCTTACATCTTTATTCACTTGAAAACTGTAGATATGTGAATCTAAAGTCTTGATTTTTAGCTCAATAATCGAAGTCGCAGTCTCCCCGGAAATACTGCTGGTGCTAGAACCTTCATTTGAATGGTCCGCCATGCTATTCAGCTGCAGCTACCGTCTAAACAACCAGGCGCAGAAACTAAATCCCAATCCATGAATGAAGATCATAATAGAGATATAAGACAACAACTAGCAAGTCAAAGCAGATACATTTATTGTGGGGAGGCTGGTTGAAGCGGAGAGGCCGCACTAGACGCGGGTAGCACAAATCTGGTTAAAATGACAAGGTTTTGCAAGAAAAGAAGACTGGGCTGTCATCAAGATTCGATAATAAACCTATTCACATTTCGTATTAGCGAAGCAATAATGTGAGAGACATCTGTTCGCGCCAACAGAAAACGTGCAACATCAAAATATGAAGATCTAAAGCAACACACTCAATCTACGCAAACAGCTAGCCAAATTAAATAGTATGACCACAGTTCTTGGGGAAGAAGTTGTAGTATCCATTCAAATTCCATTGAAAATTATGGTTGAATAATTGCAACGGTTAGGAAAGACGAGAGAAAACAAGAAGAATCATCCAGGGAGACACAGAAGGCAGAAGAAAGTGGAGATCCAATTACGACGGAAAGAATCATCCAGACAACGAAAGGAAAACTCGACGATCCCGATGAAACTGAATTCAATAAACGGAAATACATAATCCACCAAGGGATTCCGGAAGCTACAACGAAAAACGTACCTCTTCAGACGAAAAAATAGTACAAGCAACGGAAAAAAGAACCGGCACCGACGGAAATGAATGTCGACGAGAATCACAATACACCACCGGCGAAATCTTTTGTAGTCGGAGCTCGATTCAATCCAATCACAGAACAGCAATTTTCCGAAGGAGACGAAGGGGCGGGGCAGAACAGCGGAGGTGTTAAATGAAGGTGGCTTCCAGAAAGATCTAGACCTTCCCGACGGCAAGTGGCCTATCTCTAAAGAACGGAAAAGGGAAAGTGGACCCGGGGACTGAGAGAAGAAAAGCGCCAAAACGGTGCGATTTGCGGTAAATTGCTTTTTCTCGGCGGGCTCTATTTGGTAATGGACAATTAAGAAAAGGTGTTTCGCATGAGCCGCGATTAGCTGTTTCTGTCTGCTTTTTGAAACTTAAGCCAGGCCCATGAAGCCCACTAAATTTTCCATGTCGGCCCAAAACTTCGTAACCAAGTTTTGCAATTTTTTATTGTTACTTTTATAATTTAACTGACGAGTTTAACTTTTACTAAACGACGGCGTTCTCAGACCAACGACAGCGGCCCACAAAATTTGCCATGTCGGCCCAAAGTATTTAACTTTCATTAAGTTTTATTCTCAGACCAGCACAGGTAAATATTTTAAAAAGGTAAAAGCGCTTGGTAGTCATGGACCAAAACGACAGCGTTCCACTCAACACTACTATTAGTATATACGGGCGGCAAAGCAAAAGCAACTCCGACTAGATCAAATCAGCATCCCGCGGTCTCATCAGCGGTCCAGATTCTTCGAAGAGCATTTGATTCAGAGTTTGGAGGTTGCGAGCTTTATGAGATCCTTTCTCAGAATCTTACCGGAGGGGTTCTTGGGAATGGAATCCACGAACGCAACCCGCCGGATTCTCTTGTACGGAGCCACCTGTACAAGCACACGTGGACCCATCTCAGATTATAAATTACAAAATCATAGGCAAACTCAGAAACATTTCCAACACACTATTTGATGCATTCGATCTCCGCAACAAAAAGAAAAATCTATTAATAATCGAAAATATAAGTGCTGACCTGTCTTGCCACGAATTGCATTATATCTTCATGTGAAATGTCACTTCCACCCTTTCTGACCACGTAGGCCATTGGATACTGTCCAACCTCTTTGTCTGGATATCTGGAATTAGAAAGAAAATATATCAATGTAAATACATGACAATAATACTGATAAGTTGTTTATAAAATGATATTAATTTACCGTATTAAAAAAATGAAAAATACATGAAAATTTTGAACTTACGGAATTACAGCTGCATCGGAGATGCTGGGATGAGTGAGCAACAATGCCTCTAATTCTGCGGGAGGCACCTGAAAAATAATATTAAATAAAATAAAGTAAATAAATAAAACTTAAAAAAAAAAAACAAAAGATTTATCTAAATTACCTGATAGCCCTTATATTTGATGAGTTCTTTAAGGCGATCAACCACAAAAATAAAACCATCTTCATCAACGTAACATAGATCGCCGGTTCTCAGCCATCCCTCAGAATCAAGAGTTGAGGTGGTGGCCTCCACATTACCAAAATACCCTACAATTTTTTAAACACCAACTTCATTAGTTTCTATCCAATTATATTTTTAAATTACCAAACATACTATTGAATTTACCATTTGGCCAAAGTAACGCCTCTTTTTTTTTTCTTTTTTTTTTTCTTTTTTTTTTTTAATTTCAAACAATTGTATTTTAAAATTCCATTGTTCTTTAAATAAAAAGAAATCAAAATTATTAAAGATTATTCTTAAAATTAATGACATAATAAATTGTAGTATCCAAAAATGGATTCAATCATGTCGCCCATTGACCACTTTCCTTACCTTTCATGATGGTGGGCCCTCTGAGCCAGAGCTCTCCGGTTCTGTTCACAGGCAGAGCCTCGCCGGTGTCCGGGTCAACAATCTTGGCCTCGGTGCTCGGCGATAGAAGCCCTGCCGTGCCGTACCGGCGGCTCTCCTCCAGAGAATCGGTGGACGCCCCAATTCCTGTGGACTCCGTCAATCCATATCCCTGAAGAATGGAAACATTTGGATACTTCTCAACGAAACCCTCAATCACCTCCTTCCCGAGCGGCGCTCCGCCGGACAACGCCGTGTGTAACGACCCCAAATCGTACTTTCCCTTTATCTGCTCGGCAGCGTTCACCATCGCCACCAGTATCGGCGGCACAAGAGGCAGATACGTGGCTCTGTACTTCTCAATCGCCGACAACATTTCATGAATCTCGAATTTGGACAACACGACGATTGTCGATCCAGAAGAGAGCAGCCCCGTAGCGAAGGCCACAAGGCCGTAAATATGGAACATCGGAACCGTACAAATAAAAGTCCCTTCCCCTTCGCTCAATTTGAACCTCGTCACAACGACTTGAACCATCGCAATTAGATTCTTGTGAGACGACACTACGCCCTTGCTGGCCCCTGTCGTTCCAGAGGAGTAAAGCAGAGTCGCTGTGTCGTTTTGGTCCACACGCTCCTTAACTCGACTTCCACTGGATTTTTTCCTCATCATTTCGCCCAGCGTCGACACGATTTTGACTGAGAATTTTTTAATTTGAATTTCACCGTCGATCAGAACGACTGGCAATTTGGAACTGGCGATTTTGGGGATTAGTTGTTGGGTGGTGAAGGCTAAGATGGGGTTGGAATCGGCGATCTGTTTGGCGATTTCTTGAGGGGTGTTGAGGGGATTTGTGGTGGTGATGACGGCGCCGAGGGACATGACGGCGAGGCAAATAATGGGGAAGAAAATGGAGTTTGGGGAAAGGAGGAGGATGACGTGGCCTTTTCTGATGCCCATGTCAGAAAGGGAGGAGGCTACGGAGTCGACAGACTCCCAGAGGTGGGAATAGGTGATGTGTTGGCCGGTGGTGGCGTCGATGAGGGCGATTTTTCCGTTGTGGGGGCGGGATGAGATAAACGTCGTCGCATCGAGGGATTGATTAGGGGGAAGCGGGATTGGGCGGCGTTTGCTGTGGAAGATTTTCGTGGATTTGCAGAAGCCGCTTCTTGGATCCACTTCGGGAACGTCGCCGCCGTAGACCGCCATGAGGTGGCCGGAAAAGTATAATTTTTCGAGAGTGAGAGTAGGAGGTGGAGTTTTGAGACGGATTTTGGCCGCGGAGGCTTTCAGGTTGGCATGTATAGAGGCTTACAGCCGCCGCCGTTTAAAGGTCAAAATTGGAAAGAAAAGATATTAATACATGTGTATTGTATTGTACAATGCAATATGCATGTTTGTTTTTCGTTTGCCAACGCACCGACTTCCGACTTGTAATTAAATTGAATATTTCACGTTATTTTATTTTCTACTTATTGGCCGGTGACACGTGTCCTAAAGGTCAAGTCGGTCGATGGGTACGTTGAGAAATAAAGGGAGGATTTGCAAATCTCTTCGTTGATTTAACATTTTTCATTATCAATTTAAAATGAAAAAATTGGAATTGGAATTTGAAGGGCGAAATTGTAATAACACATCGTGTTCGTGTAATGTTCTTTAAAAATATATAAAAATTAAATCATTCAACTTTAAATATTTGTTTGCGACCTTGTTAATTATTTAAATCCAAATATATTTTGTAAATCATTCAACCACGTACAGATTTGGATTACCACTGGAAATGCGTTGTAGGCTACGAGACCTTGGGCCGAAGGGAAAAGGCCCATTCACTTGATTGGCCCAGCTTGAAAGCCCATTCTATGAGCTTCCCCATAGTCATTTTCAAAATCAAGAGTCAGGTCTCGAGAGTGATTTTAATCCAAGTTTTCATCTTCCTCCTCCTCCTCCGATCATTTCTGCAATCAGATTTTGCTGGTCAATTGAAAGTGCAGAGGCCAATATGGGAGGTGGTGGGCACGGAGCTGGTACGACTTTCAAGGGCATGACCATACACCAGCCAAAACGCTGGCACACCGTCACCGGCAAGGGATTGTGCGCCGTCATGTGGTACAAACCCTAGCTTTGTTAATTCCCGATCGAACATTTCTATTGAAGGAACCTAAATTTGTCTCATGTTTTAGCCAATCTGCGCCATATTTACTTTATTTACCTTCTTTCTCTATCTTTCCAAGTCCTGCATCGTTTCCGATCTGGCCTCATCGGATATTTCTAAATGAATGCATCGCAATCGAGTGGAGTCACAAATTTCATTATTATTTTGATGCTATCTCTTAATACCTTGTCTCGTACACAATTTGACGTCTCTGTGAAAATTAGAAATCGATCGGAATCAGTAGGATTGATAAATTGGCATTGCCAAGCGGTTCAAAATCTGTTTTTTTACCAAATTATTAACTATTATCTTTCAGGTTTTGGGTGCTATACAGGGCGAAACAAGATGGACCTGTAGTACTGGTAAATGTCTTCGTTTTCCAAATCACGAATTACATTTCTACTTACTATTATGTATCTGAATCTCTATTAGTTTTTTCCCATTTTTTCTTTCTTGTCGATGATATATGCCTCAGTATTTATTTTCCATTCCTGGATGTCTTATTCTTGTAATATTTGTAATGATTAGGGCTGGAGACATCCATGGGAAGGCCATGGTGACCATGGACATGATCACTAGGTACCCTTTTCATTATTTACCTCTCTTTTCAGTTTTCTCCAATTAATTGTCTATGTTTATAGATAAAAAAAAGTCAAAACAAAATGTGCCCTGCTGTATTTGCAACACTGAACTATTAACCACTTGATATTAGGGAGTTCTGTTGATAAGTTTTCCAGGTCCTTTGTAGGGTTGCTGTCAATGGTGGGCAGAAGGGGAAATGGCAAAGCTTCAGTTGCAGGTTCCCCTATTTGAATGTTACGAGTACCATATTTGCTGAGTTCTGTTCAAATAAGGATATTGTGATAGCCAAGTGGACATTGACATCACTTCATCATTTTTACTTTGTAATCATGAATTCTTCTGATGTGTTTTGAATATTTGATTTGTGTTCAATCACTGCTGTTGTTGAGTTCAAGCAAAGATCAATGCCTACTTCTGAATTTAGTTTGTTCTTTTGTTTTATTGCTTCTCTTGCTCCAAGTTTACCCTCTTCTTAAATTAAGGTTATTCCATCAGGCTAATTTGATTGGTCCAACCTGAATTTCATGTAATCAATGGTGAAAAAAGCATTCAGGAATTTATCTGCCGTGAGACAGTTATAGGCACTGTACTTTTTTTAAAATAGAAACTTAACTGAAGAGGTATCAAATGCATAGAAATAGAGAATTGGTTGATCTTGAAAGAGCATTCCAGTTTCTCAGCTTTCTGAATGCTAAATTCCAAAGCCTCGAAGTTGCCTCTAGGGCTCTCTGCAGTACAGCAATATTGTTATTTCATGGGTAGCTCGTGTATAGATACCAATTTCAATGCACTCAGTATCTGTTTGCTTGCTGGAAGGTAATCCTGAGGGAGATGATTCCTCCAAAGTTCCACTGAGACTAAGTTATGGATAAATTGCCCCTGTTAACTCCGAGGCAACAAAAGTTCTCTCTTCTCGGTAACACTTACGGGAAGTATACCATTTCTTAAGTTGTCGTAGAAAATGCGTAGATGCCATTTCAGATCCTTCTATTGAAAACTTAGATCGATTCAGTTCAACAAACGGAGTAGGAGTGATTGAAAGGGTTGGATTTGGACACAGCTTCATTGCAGTTGAGAGCTCTCATTTTGAAGGCATCTGATTGGGTTCATGGCAACCACATAACTGTTAGCTTATAATGAGGAGGATTGACCTTTGAACTGCTTCTGTCAAAATTACCGGTCGCTAATTGCAGGTGGGTTTAGATTCAGACAATGCCGTATCGCAGGCTTCTTCGAAGAGACTTCAAGTCCTCCAGTGTTTTTAATGGACTTTTGCGTCATTGCGGTTTTGATTGGGTTTTAAGATATAAACCCTGTAAGCTCCAACCATACAAACACGGTTTGGGATATACGTTTGTATTAAATAAACTACTAAATTTAAATATTATATTGGTTCTTAAACATTTGTTTCATTTTCATTTCTGAATTCTTAGTTCTTAAAACTTTCAAAATCTCCTAACAATTTTGGCCTTTGCATTGTTATTTTTCTATCATACCCATACAAACTTACTAATGCATACTCAAAAGTAATCTAAAAATAAATAAAGATAAGATCAAAATGAATATATTTTTTTTTTAAGATAAAAGTTACAGATTCAGCACGAAAATAGTATAAAATTTTAAAGTGGTGAGGATGAAAGTGAAATTTAAACACGCAAAATCCCGACAAAGCACCATTTAAAAGCAAATTTAAAAAATAAATAAAAACTGGTGGTTGTAAACAGTCAATCTACTCGCCCACCGTGGGGCTCGAACCCACGACCACAAGGTTAAGAGCCTTGCGCTCTACCAACTGAGCTAGACGGGCAGTTGTTGACATATTATTAATATATTTTTAAACTATGTTGGTGTTGGAACGATATATGAATGATTTTAATAAGATTTCAATTATGGAAGAAAATTCTATTTATTTATTTCATCTATTCGATTATCAGAATGAAAACACAATACATATCTATTCATTGTAATTGGTGGGTTGTTACTGTAATAATTTTATCATCATAGCTCAAGTAATTGCTTTCATCATATAATTTCAATAAGGTTCCTAACATATAAATAATTTGACGTTCTTAGGATGCCACCAAAGATATTTCTAGAACAAAATTTGTTTGGAGAGAAGAACTAATTGGAGTTTAAGCGCACACGTAGACCAGATGTTAACGCCTCTTGATTCTATGGCGCGGATTCAAAGATGAAATCCACCCATTTCCCCTTCACATTATCAAACAACGACAAAAAAATTGGACGCGATTTCTCTGGAATTCTTCGATTTTTCTTTTTCCTCTTTATTTACCAGATTGAATTGAAGCAATCGGCTGAAATTTCGTCGGAGTTATGGCTTCCTCCGCCACTAATCCTCTTCTATCTTCAACCTTCTTCGGAACTAACACCTTAATCTCTCCTCCGACACCCAAAACCACCAGATCGGCGACGCGTTTGCCTTTCATTTCGAGGAGGAAGCTTGTTCTTACGCGAAGCGTTCTTAGTGAGAAACCCAATTTTGAACACTTAAAGTCGATTCCATCTCGAGCTACTTTGGCTGCTCTCATCTTCTCTTCGATTGCGCCACAAGCTCTAGCCGTGGACGATGCTACCCCTCCTCCGCCGCCTCCTCCGGTAATTGAAGCTCAAGCGGCGAGTCCCAGCACTTCAACTTCCTCGCCCTTCTCTCAGAATCTCCTTCTCACTGCTCCGAAACCCCAATCTCAATCGGTTTCGGACCTTCCCGAAGGTAGCCAATGGCGATACAGTGAATTCCTGAATGCGGTGAAGAAGGGGAAGGTGGAACGAGTTAGGTTTAGTAAAGACGGCTCTGCGCTTCAGCTTACTGCCATCGATGGCCGTCGTGCCACTGTGATAGTCCCCAATGACCCTGATCTTATCGACATTCTTGCCATGAACGGTGTTGATATTTCGGTGTCTGAAGGCGACGCTGGAAATGGATTGTTCAATTTCATTGGTAATTTGTTGTTCCCCGTTTTGGCCTTTGCTGGATTGTTCCTCCTCTTCCGCCGCTCTCAGGGTGGCCCCGGCGGCCCCGGTGGATTAGGTGGGCCGATGGATTTTGGAAGATCAAAATCCAAGTTCCAAGAAGTGCCTGAAACTGGCGTGACTTTTGCCGATGTAGCTGGAGCTGACCAAGCCAAGCTTGAATTGCAGGAAGTGGTTGATTTCTTGAAAAACCCAGACAAGTACACAGCTCTTGGAGCTAAAATCCCAAAAGGGTGCCTCCTTGTTGGGCCGCCCGGTACGGGAAAAACTCTTCTGGCGCGGGCCGTGGCTGGTGAAGCTGGCGTGCCATTCTTCTCGTGTGCTGCCTCAGAATTTGTAGAACTGTTCGTTGGTGTGGGTGCTTCGAGAGTGCGGGACTTGTTCGACAAGGCCAAGTCCAAAGCTCCTTGCATTGTGTTCATTGATGAGATTGACGCTGTGGGGAGACAGAGAGGGGCTGGTCTTGGAGGTGGGAACGATGAGAGAGAGCAAACAATCAATCAGCTATTGACTGAGATGGATGGGTTTTCCGGTAATTCTGGTGTGATTGTATTGGCTGCTACAAACAGACCAGATGTTCTTGATTCTGCTTTGCTCAGGCCCGGAAGGTTTGATAGACAAGTTACCGTCGACCGTCCTGATGTTGCTGGGAGAGTCAGGATTCTTCAGGTCAGTGCATTGGAAACTCTTATTGTCTCAAGA